TACTTAGATTTCTTTAGGTTTTAAATATCTTTCCCTTCTCACCACCTTCACACACTTTACTTTCGCCTTAATATTTTTATAATTATTGTAATTGCTCAATAGTGTGTAATAACTTTAATTAGGGTTTTATATTTTCCTCCTTAATTTATGGTTTGTACTCCCCATCTCTGAAGCGATGTGATAGCGTAGATTTATTTACCTCATTTTCCGCACTTGTATATATTTAACCATTAGATTAATTTGGCGTGCATGGCAAGACGTAAAAAGAACAAATATTAGAAAATTTAATCTCAAGACAAACACTTGAAATCAAAACACTTCCCACATGTGCACCTCTAGGGTGAATCTCACTTGTTGTCTCGAATTTAAACAGTCATGTCCCTCGAACGTGGGATGCTTTAGCAAACACCCTCAGTTAAAAGATCGTAATCCCTCGATGACCCTTCGATGTTGCCTTCGGTAAAACAATCTTAGTCCCTTACAAAAATTGCTAAAGCGTCCTACAAGTTACCTTCTATGACTGTACGATGACCCGCACCTATCCCTTACACCCAACGATAGGGCTTCCTACTAACTAATGATAGGGTAGCACCATCTAAAAGAGGAGGAAAAGAACAAAGACTTTTGAGTAGGTAGATCGCTCGAAATCGCTTACTCACAAAATTTCCAAAACAAAATATATTTTCACAAAATAACACTTTCTTTCACAAATATTTTCGAAACAAACATTTTGTATACATTCTCAACGATACCAGAATCATTACAAAATTTCCGCACTTAGGCATTTTTCAAAATATTTTCAAAACATACACAAACACAAAGCATTTCCAAAAGTGAGCTAGCGATTAAGAGCCCGTAGATAACTACGGATGAAAAGAGTGCTAACACCTTCCATTTTCATAACCTACCCCCCGAACTCAGAAAATTCTCAAAAAGTCTTTCCTGTTATTTTCACCCTTTCCTTTATTGGATAAAAGAAAAGTCGGTGGAGACTCTTGCTATCCGCAACATTTGCGATAAAACACAAAACTCAAAAGTCAGATCTCCCACCGTATTATAATGATCTCTTAGAAATGTCAACTATAAATTCCTGATTGTTATAGGAATGAGTGACTTGGAATTTTTCATCCATTACCCAAGTAGGTAGCCATTGACCACTAAACATAACCTCGTTATCAAGTCTTTTTCTATGAATTGGCATAACCTTATGAGGCCATTTTTAAGCTTCATGGCAGAAGTAGAGCACTTGTTCATTAAATACTTCCTAATCCACTCACACATTGTTAAAATTGGTTTATCCCTAACACTTAATATGGTGGCATTAAAGGACTCAGAAATATTGTTCATAAGAACATCACACTTAGGGTAGAAACTGAAAGCATGCTTACACCAAAACTTTGGAGGAACACCCATTAACCAAGTCCAAGCATTATGACATGCCAGCTTCAGTTCATTCATCTTTTATAACCATCCCTGATAGTATGTAGACTTTGCAGCCTCCATCATTAGATCTTTAATCAAAGCTCCACCTCCAAATCTTTTCTTGAAATTTGCATAAAGATGTCTTAAACAAAACCTATGCTCTAGCCTTTCAAACATCTCCTCAAACACAACTACCAAACCCTGAAACATTGAATAATATCCGTGCAAAGTAAAATCTGCATAACATATAACTTAATGACAAAAAAGGTATACCTTTTGTTGATCAGATATAAACATGAATCTCTTGTCCTGGCCTACATCTATCATCAACAAATCAAGAAACCACCTTCAACTTTCTTTGGTGTCAGTCTCAACCACCCCAAAGGCCAAAGGAAAATACTGATCATTTGGGTCCCTACTCACAACAATTAATAACTGACCCCCATACTTTGTTTTTAGATGACAACCATCAACTCCAACAAATGGTCGACAACCATTAATGAAACCCTTTTTACAACCATCAAAGCAAAAATAAAAGGAACCAAGCCTTAGCTGAATAAATGGACTTGATCTTTCTACAGTGATACTCAAAGTGTTTCCAGGATTCACTCTATGTGATTCTGCAGCATATCTCTTTAAATTTGCATACTGTTTGTCTGCATCTCCTTCAAGCATCTTCTTGGCTATGAGTTTATCCTTCCATGCCCTAGCCACTGTGATTCCCACAGAATAATTTTGCCTCAAGTCTTGAATTATATCACAGATCCTGACATTATCAGAATTTTTCATTTTCTTCAACACAGCCTTAGCCACCCACCTTGAACTTGCAGATTTATTGTCTAAAACCCTAGCACATGTGTGTTTGTCAACTATGGTTTTTATAGCATAAGTGAGCTTATGGCCAACTTTGGAGCACAATATTAAAAACCCACAATTGGCCCTGCATACTAGCCTTACTCTGTCACTTTCATTTTTCACAAACATAATTCTCTCTCATTTAATACTGACCACTCACGGATGGCATATCTAAAATCATCTAGGGAGTTGAATTGCATACCCCACTGAAATTTAAAATCGTCATTTAAATGCTCTTTCCTAAACTTTTCAAACTGTGGCACTTTCCCTTTATCACTATCAGATAAATCCGGGTCAGAGCTATCCAGCTCATTACTCATATATTATTCATTCTCACAACTTTTTTGTTTGGACCCAATCATAAACTCACCAACTGAAAGGCTCTCATTAATGGGTTTAGTTACATCAATCCCTTCGAAACCATCTAGAATAGCAGTGACCCATTCATCCTCACTATCCCCCAACCCTTATACTAAATCATCATCACATCCTTCCATCTCAACATTCTCACACCTTAGACTACTTACTGAGGCTCCAATATCAGTAACATCATGCTCGACGAACATTTTCCCGTCTACTTGGAACGCACACGCGTATGCAGCAAAATCGTAACAGTCATCATCCTTCCTAATCTGGAAATAATTACCATCTATGTCACGAATTAAAGTCCATGTTCTATATGTTCCCTGCTTATAACCCAACCGGTAACCAACCTATGGATGCTAAGCATTGTCAACTGATCCATGTGGAGATTCGAAACTAAAGTACATACACCCCTATGTAAATCGTAACCCCATTGTTCAACATTACAAATTCACCTCCATGGTAGAATACATCATTGAATAGTTGATTATTCTGAAAACATTTGGGAAAATATTAAAAAACTAACATTTAACTGTATGTATGAGTAAACAAACAACCAGCTGAAAAAACTTATCTTTTCAGCATTAACAGAAGCGCCTTCTTCGTCGTGCTTCTTCGGTTTCCTTGAATGCTTCGATTGTGTCGGGTGCTTCTTCTTCTTCGATGCATGTTTCTTCTCCATTATCAACTTGTTAACTTTGTCTGATAGTGAACCCTAACTTTTCAAGGGGGTGAATCAATATACGAAAGATGTTATAAGTAATAGACACAAACACTCCAAGGTGACATTTAATTATCCAGTTAGCAAGAGTGTCACAAGCAACGTCTGCAACTCAAAGGAAATCTTGGACTATAAGATTTTTTGTTTTGAAATCTATATTTGCTAAGGGGCAGAAAAAATTATTTTTTTAAAAGAGAGATAAATCAAAACCCACTACTATTGCTGGGGGATAAAATGTATTTAACCCTAAATATTTAAATTTTTATCACAATCATTTTTAAAGTAAAAAAATAATTAATATTATTTGTTAACAGTTTAAAACTTTCTACATTAACATTATAGTGCAGAGTAATACTTCCTTGTCACAAATCCAAATATAAATGATTTGGACACACACTCGTAAAATTATATATCAATTAATTAATATACTATTTAATATTTTTTTCAATTTCTTATTTTTTGTTTCAGCCTAACGTTGTGTCCAAGTATTTTTATACCTATATAAGACTAGTGCAATGCATGCAAATTAAATTCTGTTAAAGTAGTTTGAGTAATGATAACTCAACACATAATTCCTTTTATTTTTAATTTTTTAATTTAGAAGTTAGATAATACTTTTAGCATAAAATAAAATACTTATTTTTGTATTGATTATTTGTCTTCTATTTTTATATTAATCTAATTTTTTTATATATTTGATATTATTAACTATTAAAAATATATGAAGAATGATTTAACATAGATTAACCACTTAATTTAATTCATTATTCAAGTAGCTCAATAGATTAAGGAAAGTTCACTTTTTCTTGGTTCATTATTAAGAAAACTGTTATATTTGTATTTTTCTCTCAGAAATGGAAACGTTACTATTTGTATTAATGACATTATAGAGTTAAATTAAAAAACATTAAAGAGAGAAATAAATTAAACAGTTAAATAAAATAAAAACCAAAACACTCTGACACGACCACCACGTTGAGTTCAAAAGCAGATCACATTTCACTTTCACCAAAATAATTCATTATTATAAAAATGAGACATGATAAAAAAACCTTGATCTAATTCCACAAACGCGATTCTGCAGAATCGCGTTTGCGCTTAACTGAGAGCGATGTCAACTACTCGCTCTTCCAATTTTCGCCACAAATTCAAATAACCTTTTTCTCACCTTCTTCTTTTTCTTCTTGCTCGTGCTCCTGTTTCTCCGATTCAGCTTTTTTTTTTTTTTTTTTACAGATCCGTATTGTAAATTTGTTGCTATTTATCGCTTTTTTCTTCATTCAGGTTAGCCCCTTTTGTTCAAGTTCAAATTTTTATGGTAATTGCGTGACTTTTATTTTTTTGGGTTTTGGGTTTTTCTTCTTAGATCCATGATGTAGCTTTTTTATTGCATTTTTGTATGTATGTGAAGTTCATTAGAATATGAAAAGTTGCAATATTTCATGAGTTATTATTATTATGAATTTGACTAAATAGTAGTTAAATTTTGATGGATTTGACTTAAGTAAGCAAATCAAAGGTTCGATTTTTTTTTCAACATGTTTATGATTAGTTATTGTGTTTTTGTTAGTTAGTATCAGAAATCTAGAAGCTTGTTGTGGTTGGATTGACATAGTTTGCAAGGCGTGGAATCGGAATCATGTACTTGAAAAGTATAGTCCGGGAACTCAAGGGGATGAAAAATGGGATAGGTAGTATATCGAGGCGTGGTGGTGAGAGCAAGCATTGGCTCTCTCGGTCGAAGTCGCATGTTGCTCCAGATGTAACTCCAATTGAGCCTATTCAGCAGGGACAGTGGGCGAGTCTGCCGCCTGAGTTGCTGTTGGATATAATCCGGAGGGTTGAAGAGAGTGAGACATCTTGGCCTGCGCGCGCTGTTGTTGTGTTTTGTGCTTCGGTATGTAAATCGTGGAGGTCTGTTATGAAAGAGATCATCAAGACTCCTCAGCAATGTGGAAGGATCACATTTCCTATTTCATTGAAGCAGGTAGTAAATTCTTCATACCTTTTCTGGTCCAATCCAAATTATTTTTATCCCTCGTTTTTTTGTGTTTTCTTATGTTCTCTTTCCTTTATGTGTATGAAATAGCCCGGTCCCCGTGATTATCCAATACAGTGCTTTATTAGGAGGAACAGAGAAACTTCTACATTCGTGTTGTACTTAGGTTTGGTGCCATGTAAGTATTTCACTGCTGAAACATTTCATCCCTTTTATTAAGACAAGGAACATCAATTTAATGAGTTTGTTTTGGTTTGGTCGTAATTGTATAGCGGAGCATGAGAGTAATAAGTTGTTACTAGCCGCCAGAAAGATAAGAAGAGCCATAGGTACCGGCTTTATCATATCCTTGGCTGCAGACGATTTTTCTCGAACCAGCAACAAATATGTTGGTAAACTGAGGCAAGTTTTGGTTGATAGAAACAGTGATTGCTCTTTTATTGGCTTTTCATCTTGCCCAATCTCCACAACTTGATTTTTATACATTTTGCAGGTCTAATTTTTGGGGCACCAAGTTCACTGTATACGACAGTCAACCTCCACATGATGCTGCAGTTCAACCAAAGCATCGTCCAAGTGGGAGATTTAATTCTAAGCAGGTGTCACCTAGAGTTCCTGCATGTAATAATCTTGTTAGCACCGTTTCCTATGAGCTGAATGCTCTCTGGACTAGAGGGCCAAGAAGAGTGCACTGCACCATGAACTCTATACCTATCTCAGCTATTGAGGAAGGTGGAAATGCCCCAACTCCAACAGCGTTACCTCATATATTAGGCAAACCTTTTTCTCCCTCACCATCACTGGAAGAAAAAAGCCCAATGTCAGATTTGTACTCTGGCAGCCTATCCGAACTACCAGAACTGACTGAAGGCTCCATCGAGCCCTTGGTACTAAAAAACAAGTCTCCCAGATGGCATGAGCAGCTCCAGTGTTGGTGCCTAAACTTCATGGGACGTGTTACAGTGGCATCTGTAAAGAACTTTCAACTCGTAGCTGCTGTTGATCCATCTCATAATGTTTCGCCTGTGGAGCAAGAAAGGGTAATCTTGCAGTTCGGAAAGATTGGAAAAGATATATTCACCATGGACTACTCTTATCCTCTCTCTGCCTTTCAAGCCTTTGCCATCTGCTTGACAAGCTTTGATACCAAACCAGCCTGCGAGTGAGAGCCGTGTCAATATATGATCATCATCTGCCGAGTTGTTGCATATAAAAATGCTAGGCGCAGCCGCACGGTTCAACAAGCACCAAGCACCAAGCACCCTGACATGCAGGTGAAAATTCTCAGATACACAGTCATAAATATTCTCTTCTCCCCTTGTATAAGTTGTATCAATTCTGTAATTTATTCTGTATTATATGTTGTTTCATAGTCCTGCAAGTAAATTTAAACTAAATGATGTTTAGTGAATTTTGTAATATATATAAGTATACATATTTTCTAGTATTCCTCAATTATGAAGCTTTTGGTCAAGCTTAAATACTGAATAGTTTTAAGTTATTAATGTGTATTGCACATGTGTCAATGTTACTATCTTATCTATGATACATACAGGTAAGAATTGAATCATTTTGTTTGATTGACATAACATTTGAATGACTGAAACTAAGTTCTGATTGGGACTAATGGGTACCCCACATTGTTAGGTTTGGGTCAATTTATGCCGTCTTATCATATATACAAATAAATATTATGAACAATTAGTGCTGTATGAGTAGGATATGAGTTTTAATAATTTTGGTGACACCAAACCAATTCTTTTGCTTTCTATTTTAATTTGGGGTACGGGTCCAGTTGAGAAAAAATCATCACTACTACGTTTGTCTGTCTGATTACCAAAGATCTAGTCAAAGGGACAAGAATATTCAGAATACCTGTCTGAGACTATGTGTCTGTTACCACATTTGATTTGTGTATAAACTTTGCATCCAATTGCATTACCAATTTGTAATTTCCCTTACAAAACAAGCTAGTAAAGAAAATTGATTGAGTGAATTAATTATGTAATAATGATTCTTGATAAAATGATTTATAATTGGATAGATTTATTCAAAATGAGCTAAACAGAAAATTTAAATGTAATTATTGCGTTTAAATTCAAGCTACATAACTCAAACTAAAAATCCTAACTTTAAATAAAATAAATTTTAAAAAGCATATTTAATTATACTTTAGAAGAACTAATCACTTCAAAGTCAATTCCTACACCTTTTACCCTTTTAAATGGAAATTAAACATACACTCTAGATTCTGGTACCTAAAAAATGTGATCAAAGCTGCCCTCATCGACATCTTATATTTGAGTATGTATATGAAAAAATGGTACTGTTGCATTCAATTTTGTTAGGAAATCAATAGGTAATCTCTTAGTCCAAATCCATTAAAAAAAATTAACCAATTTGGTTTACCTCTTAAACTGGCAATTCAAAGACTAATTAGTTAACTGTCAAATCATATTATAATAGAGTAAACAATGCAAAACAAACAGCTTAATTGATCACTAGTTTATAGTGTCGTTACTTTCACAACATCATTTGGTTTTCCACGATAAAAGCTATCATCTATTTTGGTCAACCTTATCAAGAATATAAGGTATAATGAAATTGGCTCCAAATGGAAATATTGAGCTTTATTTAGCAAGCGTTTCAAAATATATTTTCCTCAGTAGAGTATCAACTCAAATTGAAATTATTCTGTGCCCTATAGTGATTGATCACAATGAAAATTGACACAAATTTTACTTATAATGGTTAAATTCCTAGAGTTGCCACTTTGGGAAGAGCCACACATAAAAAGACCCAGAAAAGTCAAGAAATGATGAAACTAGATAGCAAAGGGCATAGGGGAGATTGGTGAGAGGGTGTGTGTGGGAACTCTAGCATGATCAATGTTAATAGACTTCTAAAATTCCTCTGATGACTTAGTATAATTATTTTAAGTAAAAAAGCTAAATGGCGCAAGAAATTAGATGACGAAATGCTGAACTATAATTATTGGATCACCCGTATCAAGTCATGCATGTGTTCATTCGTACTATATAGCAATTTTCTTAATTTAAGGAAAAAATTACTTCCAGGGAGAAGGTAGAAAGATAGCAGGTTGAACATTGCAAAGAAATGCAAATGATATCCACATATCCTTCTGTTCTGAAATAATAAAAACAGGATGCCTTGGAGAATACAGATCCCATATCTAATTCTAATATAAACCCACTTGCAGATCTAAACAAACTATAATTACCAGCAAGAAACAAGGGGTATTATCTATTCCTATTATAAATACCACTTGCAAGATCTAAACAAACTATAAATACCAGAAACAAACTGATAGCCACATTTCCTGATAACATGTTTGCATGAATACAGATCAGTGAAATATATATTTGCCACTTGAGTGGCTAGTGGTTTGGTTTATAAGACCCTCCGCATGGTAAAATTAATCAGTGAGAGCTGAGAAGCCTTCTTTGATTTAACACGGTATGTTTGGCTTGATTTTTTCTTCCATAAAATCTCATCTTATAGTAGAATAGGTGATGAACTCTCTTGAAGTAAATTGAAATGGCTGCTGTGGAATGGGGTTCCTGCAATAGGGGTTTACATAAAAAAAAGTGAAAAATATTGTAACTGTATGTCTAAGAAAATGACTAAATAGTATAAAGAGACATACGGTCTAGGCCCATAAACTTTGATCTGCCGCACATGAGTATCCCTTCCATTGAGATGGTTTGACAACACAGCAATTTGTAACATAAATGTGTTGACAAAAGTTTCACTGCAATGGTGATGAAAGGCAATCATAAGATGCTATCAAAAGAGAAAGAAATCCTCTAGTTATATTAACTACATGGTAATTTTGTTTCAGTTAGGATTCACTGGCATATTCAATTCCAGTATAAGAATCAAGAGCACAATCCAACAGTCCAATAAACAAAAATAGAACTGTTTATATATCAGATTTGAATCAACTGATTGATATTTAAACATACTCATGATTTGTTATGCTGTGTACATATGATATAATCCATTAATTTATTCATGATATTACTTATGTTAGAGGATAAAATTAATCTCATTTTATACATATTATTTACTAAACACATCTTCAAACTAGTAAATCAAAGGAAACAGCACAAGGAGCAAGAGTTTAAAAGAAAAAGTATTAAAATTTATGCTCAAAAAACAAGGAACCAATCACTGCTTTAGAAGATTAGTTATTAGATTACATTGGTTCGCTTCATAAGTGTATATCAAAATAACAGAACGACTTGCAGGTTAGTTCGCACAGCATGTAAAGTTACTATCTTTTGACAGAGTAAGAAGACAACAAACATGTGAGATTGAGTAAAAAAACCTTAAACTCTAAATCCTGAATGATAAAACCAACAAATAACATGTGAGATTGAGTAAAAAAACCAAGACATAAAAGAAAAACAGTTACCGAGGATCAAGTCCAGATAATGAAAGATAAAGCCAACCAGTTGGTTTCACAAGTTCCACAGCTTTTATCTCCTAAAAAACAAAATTGTTCACAAATTCAGAATAACCAAATTGATCATCAACCAAAAACCAATATCAACAAAACAATCATCAACATGAAACACTTCTCGTGTCTGATTCACAAAACTAAAACACATAATCACATTTAATCACTTCCAATTTCTCAAAATATCACTAGAGACCAAGTAGAACTGCCATATCAATTTAATAACAGAATTTGAAAGACCTTGAGGTTGTGAAAGCCGTCTCCGGCGCGAATGGAAATCTTACTGGGAGTGTAACTCTCATCAAGCTTGAAATCCACATATAGCACAACTAACTGCAAAAAAAGACAAAAAAAAAAATTCAGAATCTAAAATGTGATAAAATAATGAAATTGGAAGTGGAACTACTAGTATATAGTTAGTTACTTGTAATCGAACTTTCTTTTGGAACTGAATGTTAACAAAATGAGGTTGAGCTCCGTCAGATCTGAAAAACCAAACAAAAAGAATGAATGAAAGGGGTTAGTATCATATAGGAAATATGAAAATGAATGCGTGTGAAGATGGGTGAGTGAGTGTAACTGCCAATAGGTTTCGAGATTATCATCTCGGAGAGAAGAGACGCCGTTGCCGGGTTTGCAGGAACTGACGCTCCAGGCGGCCTTTTTCCCCAATTCGCGGAGGTCGTCGTCGACGGCCAATATCTGGTTGCCGCCGCTTAACTTTCCTTCTTCTTCGCCTTCCGATGATTCCGCTGCCATTTCTAAACTCATCGAGATTCTGTCTTTGATGGGAGAGATTGAGAAGTCCAATTTCAAATTTTTTATTTCTCTTTGAATGTGTGGAGAATTTGCGGGGAGATATTCCAATAATACCCTTTTCTTTATCACTTGAGTTGAGTGTGATAGAAAGATGGGGGAAGGGAAAGTGGTAGAATAACATATGTTCACCAAAATTGTTTATAATAAATTGAAACAAAATTTGTGAATTTTTTTTAATACTAAAATACTACAATAACTATCTTATCTTTTTCCATAATAAATTAAAATATTTGTGTTTCAAACAAAAATATTTTTGCAATAAAGAGGAGCTGTCAATTGCACTGACGCATGCACTAAAAAAATACATAGGCGTCAATGACACTAACGCATGTACTATCAAGGTGTCATTGGGTCAAACGCACGTGTTGTAGTTTAAAGAGGAGGCGTCAATGACTGTGGCGCCTATGTGTATTGACTTTTTTATAAATAATTCCTTCACTCTCATTATTTTTCACACATCTTCTCATTTCATTCTTAAGTTTTTCTTCAAATTTTCTAACATGATTATTAAAAGAGATGCTCATTTTTGTTATTCGATTCTCAAGCCTCCGATGAAGATCTAACTTTGAAACACTCATACTTTCGAGCATTTTGAGAGAAACTTGATTTGTTGGTTAAACTGAGAGATTCGAGATGGTGAAAAAAATTAGAAGAATTGATAGACTTGTTTCGGCATTCAACAATGCGTATGAAAATAATAAAGCTCATCGTACGTGGGAGTTAGTTAAAATTGACATTGATATTCGTGTTATGATGTATTGACAAGATGATATTGTCTTTATGATTGTAATCTCTTAGATATATTGAAGTGTTAAGTCCTTTTATTTGTTCTTCATGTTCTTGTTTTAGGCGTGCTTGTGTTTGTTTTATTGTAACTGAAAGTTATATTCAATATGAAATTTCATGGTTACAAAAAATAAATTACATATAAAGAGTGCATACAATAATTATGTTGTATAGCTTGTTCCAAGATTGGGATGACATTTTCGTGTGTGTCCGGGCTAACGACATATACCACATAATCTTACCATTTTGTCAGCCAAATCCATTTCAGTTCAAATACGCGTGTTGTTAGGGCGAACTTTTTTCTTCCTTCACATATTTTCGTTGTGTCAAAAAATATCGCCTTAACATTTAGGCTAATATTCCTCCTGTGCTACCATCGAGAAGCTATTGTGGTACACATTAAACATGTTTATGACTTTGTAAATGGCAGATAGATGCTTGGAAGGGTCTTGGCGAGCATATGAACATTCTGCAATGACATAGGATCAAGGCATACATAAGGCTTGAAAGTGTGACTACGACGATCAAAGATTGTAACCCTATATGTGTTAGGTTTGATAGTTTCCTTCTTGATAAATTTCATACATCTTTCACTGAATAACTGCCCTGATTCTAACACTGAACTCCACTTTGTACCTCTGGTTGCAAATAATTACCCTAGCCTAAAATAGGTTTCTCTCACCAATGTGGTTATGGATAGGTTTCAAATGCCTTTGAAGAAAAGTTCATTGATTCCATAAGATATGTTGTCATGTGTCCCCATCATTGACTATTGCCAAATTCCCTAGTCCACTTCTCCATTGGAATATTATCGATCCATCTTATGCACCCGCATTTTACAATCTGATCTATTAGCAACAGTGTTGGAATGAAGGTTAAGTTAATGCATACCCCGCATTCACAACTTTTTCTGAAGAGTCTTGTCTCTGATCTCCCATATAAAGTTTTGTGCAATAATGTCTAATGAAGTAGACATGCGTAAAAGGAGGATCTTGCCAACTGTTATCAGGGTTATTGTATGCACTCTCAATAGACGTATGTCTTCCTGAAATTAAACAGTGGTTAGCTTACGGAGCAACATGTATTCGGAGATTCTTGAGAAAGAAACTTCATCCACCAGCAGTCTCACCTTCAACCAGAGTGAAGGAAATCAAAAAGATATTATTGTTTCCATTTTGTGCCACTGTCACAAGTAACGTTCTTTTATAATTCTTGTACAACCATCTTCCATTAATTTGAATAATAAGCTTACAGAACGCAAAACGTTTGATGCATGGTTGGTACACTCTAAAGAGTCAACGGAATATTCTATTTCCACTAACATAAGTTCTATTCTGTGTAAATATTTGCAGTGTCTCCAAAATTGCAACGGATCTCAGAGCATATGTCTTATGAACCATCAAATATTATGGAAGTTCTTGTACGAATCCTTCCCATTTTTGTATACTCGACCAACAACCTTAGTCTTCACTATCTATGCCTTCCTGTATGAGAGAGTATAATTGTATCGTGTAACGATGTGAGAGATTATTATACTCACCTTCAATGACGGATCCTTGCTAACGAAAGGCGAGATTTCTTGGCATATTATCTAAGAGCTTAGTTTACAACGATCCTGTATCAGATAGGTGGTAATGCAAGTGTGAGGTGGATTCATAAAACTTATCTCCCAAGAATCACTTCTCTTCCTGTATGATAGAGTATAATTGTATCGCGTAACGATGTGGGAGATTATTATACTCACCTTCAATGATGGATCATTGCTAACGAAAGGTAAGATTTCTTGGCATATTATCTGAGAGCTTAGTTTACAGCTATCCTGCATCAGATAGGTGGTAATGCAAGTGTGAGGTGGATTCATAAAACTTATCTCCCAAGAATCACTTCTCTTTCTGTAAGATGCTGCTAGCCGGAACATGCAGAGCATGTTACAAAACAGAATGACGTATGTAACACCCTAAAAACCCTGCGCTCATTATTAATAAAATAAAGCATATAGAATCACATATTCACACTTAAGATGTTACTCGATGTCAAACACATATGTTCTATAACAATTGCACCCCAATATTTGTCCTCCTATCTTCTCTTTTATCAAGTCCAGGCTTCTCATTTCATCAGCATAATATGCATGCATTCATTGAATAAAACACCTGGGTTCAGAGGATCACAAGATCATAACTTCTTCATTATTCAATATTTTTTAATGATCTTTTTGGACATATGGATCTCCTTAACACCCTCTTCAATTTCTCTTTACAAGTCAAGAGTTGATTATGTGTGGAAAATCATCAAAAGTCTGAATACTTTAGAGGTCACTTTGTGAAATTAAACTAATTTATATGATTGTTGTCCGGCTTCCAAGGATCATAACTTCCTCAGTTTCCAACATGTTGAGACAATTATTTTTGCACAATATCACAAATGGTGTTATCTACAGGTTTGCTTCAAGGATCAAATTCAAATTATGCTCAGAAAGCCATGAAATCTTGTGAAACATTATAAGTCATTTATTTGGCTTAGAAGTTTTTTCTGATGAATTCCAATCTATGATGCTTTTCTTATGATCATTCAAGTCATTTGCCATGATTCAAAGTCAAGTTTCAAGTTCTTCAGTCAATTTCTTTTTATTTCTTTTATTCAAAAATCTCCAAAAAATATAGTCATTGTCATTTATTCTATTTTTGAGTTTCAAATATTAGTTTTTTTTGTTTAATTTTAGTTTTTATTTCTTTTTAATTCAATTTTAATTTTTTGGTTAAAATTTTAATATTAATCCAATTTGAATTGCTATTAAAATAAAAATCATTTTCTTTTAATACAAAATCTTTTCTTTTTTAATTCCTTTAATCCATTTTGTTTTTCATATTAATTCATTACTAACAATTTTTTAGTTATTACTTCTATTGTTATTGTTATTTTGTTTTGCTCAATAAATAGGTGAAAGAATTCAAGTGGGACCAGCAAAATTCATGTCACGATTTCTCCACCAAAATACACGGTTTCTCGCATGCAGTGTACCAAAATATTTCACCAACTTTCAAATTTCAAAATCATTTTCCATTGTTTCATCCAATGAATTAAAACTTGCAAGCAATTTTGTCAAACGGTTTGCGTATGCTTGTTTGATGATTAATAATAGTGATTTGATAAAAGTATTTGAACCACTATTTTATCATTAAACAGAAAAATCAGCAAGCCAATTGAATCACAAAATTGCGGAAAATGTAAAGAGATGGAGAGAAAGAAAGAACAATACACAGGAAGTTTAGTAAGGAAGTTCCCCATTGTCGTTCTCGCGTGTGGGTACGTCTCCATCTCAATTCCAGAATTGAAATTGAGAACTCTTATAACATTTTTGCTGAATGTTTGAATACAAGGTTACAATACACACACTGATAGAAATCCCTAAGATCTTCTTCTTCTTGTAAGAACCTCCACTTGATATGAGCCTTATGAAGATTCCCTGCAATATCCACAACCGATCCTCCGTTTCCATGACCTGTTTGCAAAAATCCCTCTGATTTCCAAACCCCTTTGTGATCGGTGGATCTGGAACTGACTGTTTTACGCTGGTTCGCGAAATGTCGCGGAAGCAAGAGTCGCCACCGTCTTTTATTTTCTCCAAGTGGAAAGGACAAAAGCACAGAAAAATTCCTTAAAGAGATTGCTCTCGGTTCGGGAGGTAGATTATAGAAAGGGAAGGTGTTAGCACCCTTTTTATCCATGGTTATCCATGGGCTCTTAGATACTTGCTCAATGTGTTTTCAAAATTGTCTGTTTGCTTTTCAATGTGGGTTTTAAAAAGTTTCTTTGAAAAATTTCAGTTCGACTCGTACGTCAGAGTGTTTGAAAAGTTTGTTTTGAAAGCTTTTGAAAATGTGTTGGTGTGAAAAGTATTTTTGTTTGAAATTAGAGAGCAAGTATCCATGAGTCGTCTACCTACCCTAAGGAATTCGTCTGTGTAAATGTCCTTTAAAGTAGTGCCATCCCACCATTGAGAGGTAGGTAGCACCACCGTTGGAGGTGTTCGGGTCAATTCGAGTTTGTAGGGACATGGTGATCACCAGAGCAATGGGAAGACACCTTAGAAGCTACCCTCATGCCAGGTTCCCGGATCATGAGGACTTACCAAGACATCCTCTACTCGACGA